TGAAATACCTTTTAGTATAAACAAAAAAAAGAGTCCAAAACCATGCTTCCACCACAGTTAAAGGAAGGTCATTGTAATATTGTTTGACGAAAGGGCTTTTCCACCACAGAACCCAAAGAGCTTTTATACTAGTTTAACTCCAAATCAAAACAAACACTTTCTACAAAAGATTAATTTACTCAATATGAAAAATAACTCTCGATAAATTTACAATATTTCTTTTTTCCAAAATAATTTTCTTGCTAAACTGAAAAACACTCTCAAAGACTTATGGTTATACAAGTGAGAGAAAGGAAATTATATTCAGAGAAAGAGGAAAAATGAGATATTCGCGTTTTTTTTTTGTAATGTGAATAAATGAAAGGGAAACTCTCTATTTATAAGTCAATAGATGGTTCGAATTAGAAAACAATCCATGAGAAAAATAAATGACATAATCGATTAGTTAATTTATTAGAAATTTGCAATAATCGATTACTGCACCACAAATTGAAAGTTTTGATAGAGAGTCGTTACTATTCATTAAGACACAGTTGTAATTAGTTATGAATTTGATTCACCCTTATCTAATCGATTAGGTAATTGTTCTAATCGATTAATCAATTCAAAATTTTGTCCTAATCAATCTGATAGTTTCCAATTCATATAGTTAGGTCTCAAAAACATTTTTGGGGATTATACTACTTTTAAGTGTGTGTTTGTATTTTAGTTATGCTATTTTAGAAAAACACCTTTTTATTTTTATAAAATACTGATCGCTCAATTACACACGATCAGCCGATCGCTTGAACCAATTTAATCACTTGCTTGTCTTCATGCATTGTTGTCATAAAAAACACTTTAAAAGATATTATATCTTCATGTAGATCATTAACAATATGATGTTATCAGAGCCAAACTGTTGGAAGAAAAAAACAAAACATAGAAAAAAAGGAGGAACAAAATAACAACACAAGAGATTAACGTGTAAATTCTAAAATTGAAGAAAAAATCATGACCGTTGTCGAATGACAACCAGAGAATATCAATATGTAAAAATTGTTACAACACATAAACTACCCTCAAACACCCAAGACCCCAATACACCCACACTCTTCAAAACAAATATTTAACTATCTCTCACAATACTCTAAATCAAGAGAGTAAGAGAAAATAAAAAATCAAATACAAGCTTAAAGTATTTTTGACTGATAGATCTTGTAAAGAAAAACTTGAATCTTATATATAATATTTAATTCTCTCTTCCATCACTAAACTAAGCGTTGAAACTTATAATAACTTTAAATCATATATATATAACCTTGAACTCGCTTTATTTTCACAAAAATAAATGATGTGAAACTTTTTCAAATAACCCCAACACAAACATCTCTTATTGAACTTTTGATCATTTTTTAATTAGGTCTACAAGTACATAATTCCATACTTATGCGATTTGAGAGAAATACAAGTGTAATAAATAATCCCCTTACTTACATGTGTACAATGTACTTAACTGCATGGGCTAAAAAACCATAATTCATATTTTTCGTTTTTCACAAACTTACAATTTCTCTTCCATTTAATACTAACCATTGATTTATTGCCTCTTTAAATCCACCAGGTGACTTAAACAAGTGCAAGGGTAATGTCCTCTCTGGTGACATCACTTGTTTTGGTACTTTCACAATGTCTCTCTAAGATTCAATAATATTCTTTATTCAAATTAAACGAGGATTCCAATATGATTCTTTTAGCTTTAAGCTAAACTTCAAATAACTAAATGTTACTACGTAGCTACCTACACTTTTCTAATATGTAGACTTTTCAAAGAAAAATAGACTTGCATGCTAAATTACAAAAGCTACTTTCTGTTTCTGATTTTGCATTACAAAGCTATTAATTAAAATGAGTCATGTTCTTAGTGATGAAGCTGTGGCAAATGCAATGGAGGAAATAAAAAACAATCTTTCTTCACGTAGACCTGATGATGATAATATTCTTCCACATATTCACAAAGTTTCAACTCCTCCTAAGCAATCACTTTTCCAAGATATCAAACATAATTTCAATGAAACATTCTTCTCAGATGACCCTTTTGGCAAGTTTAAGAATCAAACAGGATCAAGAAGGTTTGTTCTTGGACTCCAAACTGTTTTCCCGATTTTCGAGTGGGGAAGATATTACAATCTTAAAAGTTTCAAGGGGGATTTGATTGCTGGACTCACCATTGCAAGTCTTTGCATTCCTCAGGTATATAGATATTTCGAGAAATAATATTATGACATGACACGACACACGACACTATGATGAAACCTGATTAGATGTTTGTGTAAATTTTGAATGTGTATCAGGATATTGCGTATGCAAATCTTGCAAACTTGGAACCACATTATGGACTATGTAAGAATCTTTGTTTATTCTATAACTAATTTTCACTTGTTAGTTCGGTTAGATGATGATGATGAATTGGTTTCTGTAGATACAAGTTTTGTTGCTCCTCTTGTGTACGCTTTTATGGGAAGTTCAAGAGATATTGCTATAGGACCAGTAGCTGTTGTGTCTCTCTTGCTTGGCACTTTGCTTACCGATGAAATTCCTAACTTCAAAAGTCACGAATATCTTCGACTTGTATTTACAGCGACTTTCTTTGCAGGAATCACTCAAATGGCACTTGGACTTTTAAGGTACTATTGTTGGATTGGTACTAAAATGTTGGTTATGTTATAATCCATATGAGGTGAATTTCGCAGGCTCGGTTTCTTGATTGATTTCCTATCTCATGCTGCCATTGTTGGATTCATGGGTGGAGCTGCCATTACTATTGCACTCCAACAGCTTAAAGGTCTTCTTGGCATAAAACAATTCACTAAAAAAACTGATATTATTTCTGTCATGAGATCGGTTTTTAGTGCAGCCCACCACAGCGTAAGCTTTTCCTTTTCTTTTGAATTGGTTTATATGAAAACACTTCGACTTTATTTTATCTTTTATTACAGAAATAACTAAGAAACGGGCACTTATATAAGTGATTATGCTATTACCACTTTTTTGTTTTAATCTTTGATTACAGTGGAATTGGGAGACAATAGTAATTGGAGTAGCATTCTTGGCTTTCCTTCTTGCAACAAAATATATTGTAAGAATACCAACAATTTCTCTTCCTTTCTTCATTTCCATTTATTGAACCTTTATATATGAATATGATTATGTTGAAATGAATAGGCTAAGAAGAAAAAGAATCTGTTTTGGGTGGCTGCAATATCTCCTATGATATGTGTTATTGTCTCTACTTTTTGTGTTTACATTACAAGGGCCGACAAGAAAGGAGTAGCAATTGTAAGTAGCTATTTTCTTTCAATTTCTTGAATAGTTTCAAATAAAATGAAGTACTAAGTAAGACTTAAAGGTATGTTGTTTCAGGTGAAACATATAAGAAATGGTGTGAATCCATCATCTGTTAATGAGATATATTTCAGTGGAAAATATTTAAGTGCTGGTATTAGGATCGGTGTGATATCTGGCATGGTAGCTCTCACGGTAAGAAAAGTTTTCCCAGTGTTCCTCTTTTGTTTTGTTTCATTAACATTTATGTGACATTTGAAACACTTTTGTTAAATGTTTATAGGAAGCTGTGGCCATTGGGAGAACATTTGCTGCTATGAAAGACTATTCAATAGATGGTAACAGAGAAATGGTGGCATTAGGAACAATGAACGTTATCGGTTCCATGACATCTTGTTATGTGGCTACCGGTACAAAAAAAGACTAATTCAATCAACCATGTTTTAGCTTCTATTGAAAACCTTGTAAATCATCTTAATGAGTTTGCTTCTGATATTTTTGCAGGATCATTTTCGCGTTCGGCTGTGAACTATATGGCTGGTTGTAAAACTGCTGTATCAAACATAGTTATGTCCATAGTTTTGTTGTTAACTCTGTTGGTAATTACACCGCTATTCAAGTACACTCCAAATGCAGTGCTTGCATCAATTATCATAACTGCTGTGATGAGCCTTATCGACATTAAAGCGGCTATTCTTCTATGGAAGGTTGACAAATTTGATTTTCTAGCTTGCATGGGAGCCTTCTTTGGTGTCATCTTCCAAAGTGTTGAGATTGGTCTTCTAATCGCAGTAATCAAAATATCAAATACTTTTAGCTATATTTGACCGTAGTTTTTTACAAAATTGAGTATCGATGTTACTGCAACTGCGATTTAAAACCATTTTTATTTATGCAGGTGGCAATATCATTTGCGAAAATTCTCTTACAAGTGACGAGGCCAAGGACCGCGGTGCTTGGGAAGCTACCAGGGACAACTGTTTACAGAAACATTCTGCAGTATCCCAAAGCATCTCAGATTCCCGGCATGCTTATTATCAGGGTTGATTCTGCAATCTATTTCTCAAACTCCAACTACATCAAGGACAGAATATTGAAGTGGCTGGTAGATGAAGAGATACAAAGAACATCAAGTGAATTTCCTAGTATACAGTATCTCGTTGTTGAAATGTCGCGTAAGGCTTTTAAGGAAATCCTTTTTTCATGAGTGATTTTGATAATTGAATTTACTAATTAAGCAGCCATGTTATTGTAGCTGTTACTGATATTGATACTAGTGGCATTCATGCCTTTGAAGATTTACTCAAGAGCCTCGAGAAAAGAGATATTCAGGTACAAAATAATTTGTAAAATAGAATGGGTTGCTTGTGTGCCAAGAAATACATTTATGATGATATTATTATAATGTATAAAACAGATTCAATATGTAGTAAATAATTGTTTATGTTTGTGATCTTTTTTGACAGCTTCTATTGGCGAATCCGGGACCTATTGTAATTGAGAAGCTTCATGCATCGATGTTATCGGGCTTAATCGGAGAAGATAAAATATTTCTAACAGTAGGTGATGCTGTTGCAACTTTTGGTCCAAAAGGTGCCGATTTATGAACAACATAATTACTATTTCAACTGAAGTGTGTTGTTTAAATCAGATATGAAGAAAAAGGGTATACGAAGATGTTAAGGAATCTCTTAGGAACAATGAAAGGCCATGTAGATTATTTGTATGTAGTTTTGTTTATTCTCATTGGCCACTCTAGTGTCAGTGCCATTGTCGTTCTTTTGTATGTCCTTTTCCATTACATCACCATTGTTCTCCTTTGTTTCCAAAACTTGTTTTAGCCATCTTCATCATCAAGAAATCAATGTAAACAAAAAGATAGTTGTAGGGCATGGCTAATGGTTGTAAATATTCATCTTTCTTGTTTTACATTTTTAATATTTTTCTGTTCGTAATTGAAGAATTTGGTGTTTTAGGTTGAAACTCTAATGTGTTGTTGATACACTTTCTCATTGATTATAATTATAAGATAGGTTTCTTTTGTCGTTACCACCTGTTCGTTGTCGTAGAGCTGATTTTACTCGTGTGATGTTCATGGTTGTTGTTTTTTATTTATTGCAAAGAAATAAAAGGTACATTTGAACTAATCTCTATGTTCCTTACAAGAAGGAAACTTCGACGCCAAGTTAGTGACGGTAAGATATAACAAGTATAAAATTTTAAAGAATTTTTGTTTGTATCTTGATTTTACGTCTGTGATCCTTTTATAAGGGTTTCTATTGGCCCTTGTCCTTTAACTCTAATCAGAATCGTTCATGTTGACAAATGACATGATATAATTTGCTCTAATATCTAACGACTCTCTCTTGGTTTCCTACTTGGACTAGGTTCTTTTTAGGGCAGGTTTATGCTTAATCTCTAGGTCTTGGAATCTTCTACTTGATAGTAGACATTTGTATCACGATGTTATATCTATAATTTATTTTTGTCACAAATATCTTTATCTTTTATCTTTGATATTTGTAACTATTATGAGATTTGTCTCATTAGGCCACAAAGACTGGATAGGAAGAGTTTCCATCAACCCTATTTTGAAAGACGGGATAGGAAGAGTTTCCCTCAAGCCTATTTTGATATAGCCGTGGTAAGTCTTGTGACTTTGCATTATCTTGGTATGTCTTTAGGGTTTTTCACTCTCTACTGGTTTGTGATTGCCTCTTCTCATCCCTTAGTGTGATTAGGGTCGAGCTCCATTATTTTATGCTTGTATTTTAACTTTGAATATGAGCCTTAACTTTCGTGTTATCCTTTAGATTCTAACTGTGTTATCCTTTAGATTCTAATTGTGTTCTCCTTGAACGGGATCATCTATTTTCTTTTGTTATTGTTATATTTTAAATTTGTTCGCCCTTTATCACTATGGTCGAAATTAATTTTAAATTTGGATTTTTATAAAATTCTTTTGATTTACATTAATATTTTGGGGTTTTATAAATATTCGTTCTCAAGTCCAGTTAAAAATATAATAATTTATTTTAAATTATTTGTATTTTTAAAATAGCAAATATCTGCACACCTTTCATATACTTTCAATTGAGTTTATTTACAAATTAATAACATAATACAATTGGTAAAAAATAAAACTTGCAAGTATGAGGACACTAGTCCGAACCTTTTGTGATGCGTTTTAAATATTTTTTAGCCTGACTTACTTGCTAAGTATTATTAACATAATTCTAAATCTATAAATAAGACTCATTGTTGTCCTAATTTTTCATCAACAATTTCATTACACCACATCATCGACAATTTTATCAACAATCACACTCACACATCAACAATTTCACTACACCACATCATCGACAATTTTATCAACAATCACACTTACACCCCACTTGTTTACAAACTTCTTTTCAAAGGTTTCTTTTCAATTTTTCTTTTCAAAAACTTTTGGTATTATTTATTGTCTTATTATTGACCGGTGATTTCATATGAGATCACACTCTCTCCCTTTTTTATTTTCAATATTTTTATAATTTTTATTTGTTTATTTTACCATAGGATAAATATCTGATGGTAATTTATCTTTAAAATTATATTTTTATTAATTTTTTCAAAAACCAATTCAGTCAGTAAATGTCTCCCATTTATTTTTTAGTTTTGTTATTTTGTTACTCTCTCAACCATATGATGAGGACTTTCTGTTCGTTGTCCTTTTTTATTATTATCCACAAACACTAACAATTCCCTCCGCACTGCAGATACGTTCACCTAATATACACATCAAATTACACCATTCAGTTTTTACACTAAGAAAACCTTGTTTTGGTCACAAAATTTACCCAGGGACCTTTTTTTTTTTAACGTTTGATCTTTCAACAAAGACTACAGAGTCCTTCCAAATTCAACCAATTCTTTGCACAACACTTCCCTCATAATTTTCACAATCTTTAAACCATTATTGTCAACCTTAAACCCTAATTTTACCATCATCCATGTACCAAATAATTTTACCAAAAGAAACCTTTAATTTTCAATACCCACTTTTACTTGTAAAAAAAATCTTATGTACATATGCTTAACTCACGTTTACACATTAACATAGAAAACTCTTGTAATTTGTTACACAAAATTTCTCACTTTCATGTGCTATTCTGTGATATATTATTTTCTAGGTATGTGTATATAATTTGTTGTTTCATTGCAGGGAAAAAGAAAAACAACAACTTGAAAGGGAAATTGAAAAGAAGAAGCACCAACAAACTTTAGTGAAATCGAACAAAACTCCAAGCACCCTCCGATTACGACCTTCCGTTCAACCTCTGATTCGCTGCATCTCCGCACTCAGCCGGTCACGGCCGCACCAAACCTGCTCCGATCGATCGCTTACCAGCTACATGTCGTCGCACACAGAACCACCACCACCAGAGGATCGCGATCAAGACCTCTAAGAGCACCTACGACAGATCTCAAGCAACCAACTGCACCACTGCGGTCGACACCCTTCCATCGCCGGCGTATCTCGGGCCGGTATTCCTTTTCTTCCCTTTCGTTGTTTCATTTTTTTTATTTAAATCTATTGAGGCTTGTGTGTTTGAGATAAATCTGGAAAGGAAGTGATAGAAGAAATAGAAAAGCTGAGCAAAAATGTTGGATAGAAGATAGAAAATGATTTCTCTGCAAACTGAAAGAAGAATAGTGTATGATTTCAAGATAAGAAAAAGAAACGTGAGTGAATAGTGACTTATAGTGATTTCTATGATGAATTTTTACCACAATATCAATTTAATTATGAGACAAATAAAAAAGAAGACAAGACAAATAATTTCTACAGAGTTTCTCTCTGCTCATAAATTGTGAAAACTTTATTATTCACTTTGCAACTGCAAAATACTGTGAACGATTTGCTTGACTTGCTTACAAAAATAGGGGTTACTCCCTCTATTTATAACCGAGGCTCAAAACCTAAAATATATATTTTGTTATTAAATCAAATCTAATATATTCTAAACTTAAATCAAATATATTTAAATCTAAAACAAATCAAATTTTTTCGACACATAGTTTCGACACACTGAATTACAATTTAACACACCACCTAATTCATTGTGTCTAAATTATCTATGTTCATCATGGCTCTTAGTCTTCTGAATACTTCGACTTGCACTCCCTTCGTCATGATGTCTGCAATTTGATTCTCAATTTTGTAGTGTTCCAAATTCATCTTCTCATCTGCTACCTGCTCTCGAAGATAATGGAACCTCATTTCGATGTGCTTACTTCGACCATGTGCTATTGGGTTCTTCGCCATCTTCATGGTAACTGCTCCATGATTTTTCCATGTTATCTCTTCGATCAAATTCACCATTCAAGTTGCTTGACATCCACAAAGAGAAGCAGCTATGTATTCTGCTTCGCATGATGATAATGTCACTACTGGTTCCTTTCTTGAATTTCAAGCAACTGGTGCACCACCTAGCATAAACACATATCATGTTGTTGACTTTCGATCTTCAACATCACTACACCAACTCGAATCAGTGTATCCCACTAACTTGTATTCTTTTCCTTTATCAATTGCAGGAAATAAAATGCCATTATCGAAAGTTCCTTTGAGATACCTTAGTATCCTCTTCACTGCTGCTAGATGTTATACCTTTGGCTTCTGCATGAATCTACTTACCATACCTACACTGTATGCTAAGTCAGGCCTTGTATGACAAAGGTATCTCAAAGATCCAATAAGTCTTCTATATTGTGTTGGATCAACATCATCTTCATCTGCATCTTTCGACAGTTGCAGTCTTGGTTCTGCAGGTGTCGAATTTGAGTTGCATTCTTCCATCTCAAACCTCTTGAGAATTTCTCCTGCATATCTTCTTTGATGCATCATCAAACCTCTACTGCTCTTGTAGAATTCGATTTCAAGGAAATATAAAATCTCAGCCAAATCAGACATTTCAAATTCCTTGCTGAGATCACCTTTGAAGTCTTCGATCTCACTCTTGCAGCTACATGTTATCAACAAATCATCTACATAGAGACATAGTATACGCAATTTACTCTTGTTTCTTCTTACATATACTCCATGTTCAGTTGTGCACTTCACAAATTCCTTCTCCCTTAGGAAACTATCAATTTTCTTATTCCAAGCCCTTGAAGCTTGTTTCAATCCATACATGGCTTTATGTAGCCTGTACACCTTTCTTTCTTCGTCATGTTTCACAAACCCAACTGGTTTTTTATGTGAGCAACCCCTTCATAGATTGATTTTGAATGATTGCAAATATAATATAACATGTTTGAATAAGCCAAAATTACATTTCTCTCATAATGCATCATTATGAGTCGACACATCAAGTTTTGTATCGATGCATAGCTTTCTGAAGTCCCTGGACTTGTATCTCAAAACTATTATGTATCGATACAAAAGCTTATGAGTCGATACATAACTCTTTGATGATCCTGGAATGTGACTCTAAAAACTGCATGCATCGATACATAAATTCCATGCATCGACACATAATATTTTGATGCTCCTGTAATACTTGTATGAATCGACACATACGCATTATGTATCGACACAAAACATTCTGATGATCCTGGAAAACATTTTGAAACTTATATGTATCGATACATAATATCATGTGTCGACGCATACTATGTTTTAAATTCAAAATTTAAATTTACAATCAGTATGTATCGACACATACGCATTATGTGTCGACGGGTATAAAAGTGTTGGTTCTGTAAAACGCTATAACAGGTTTTTGTATCGACTCAAAACATAATGTATTGACTCATCCTGTTACATGTAACTAACATGAGTCGACACATGACCATCATGCATCGACTCATGCACTTTCTTTTTTGACTAACCGTTTTCTGTTATAAATATAAGCAAGCATTTTCTTCAAAAAACATATAGCAGCATAGAAGATTGTGTGCAAAACAATTGTGAGCAACCAGAAGCTTTTGATTCTTTCATCTTCATCATCTTCTCAACCTTCTTTCATTCAACAATAACAAAGAAAATCAAACATCCTTGTTGCATTGAATCAAGCGGTTTGAGATAACGTTCAGCTGAGTATTGAAGAAGTCTAGCTGAGTTAAAGGTTGAAGAGGAAGCTTCAAGAAATAAACCAGAGGGTTTGTCCTTCAAGAACGGGTGTGTTCTTGAGGGTTTTGTCAGTCACGGTCACGCGAGTCGGATTCAGCCGTAGAGAGGGGTTTGGAAATCGGAAGGATTTTGAACAAACAGGTCGTGGAAGCGGAGGATCGTTCGGTGACTTTGCAGGGAATCTTGATACAGCTCTTATCAAGTGGTGGTTCTTACAAGAAGAAGAAGATCATATGGATTTCTTGCTTTCTGTGTAGTGTAACCTTGCTATCAAACATTCAATAATATTGATATAAAAGTTCTCAGTTTCGATTGTGAAATTGAGAGGGAGACGTACCCACACGCGAGGACGACAGTGGGGAACTTCCTTACCAAATTGCTTGTGTATCGTTCTCTCTTTCTTTCTCTTTACAGTTTTACATATTCTATAATTTTGCAATTCAATTGGTGTGCTAAGTTTTAGTCTAATGATAATTATATTGGCTCAAACATTTTCACCAAACCACCACTATTAAATCATTATACAAGCATACGCCAATTGTTTGACAAAATTCCTATCAAATTTTCTAAATTCATTGGAAATACTGTTTTATGATAAGTGCATTGAAACGTCAAGATTTCTGAGTTGTATATTCATTCATTCCATTTAATAAAAATCCAACAAAGTTTTCACATGTCAAGCTTTCTAGTTGTCGGTTCAAAGTAGACGGAATTGATTCAGGACATTGATTTCCGCTGCTTTCAACTCTTTTTGATAAAACTATTTTAAATCCTTGAAAAAGAAGAAGTGATCTATTCACCCCCCCCCCCCCCCCCCTCGATCACTTGCCACACCGTCTAACAAGTGGTATCAGAGCACCGATTAGCTGGTGCTTTGTATCTACTCGTAACGCTATGGCCTTTGAACCAAATGGAGCATATAATAGAGCTCCTGTTTTCAATGGTGAAAACTATGGCTACTGGAAAGACTGCATGCGAGTACACATAAATTCCATTGACAAGAATGTATGGACTACCATTCAAAATGGTCCTTTTCAAATCACCATGAGGAATGATGCAGGTGCAATAGTACCTAAACCTGAGGATCAATGGAATGAAATGGATGAAAAGAAATGGTCGTGCGATTGGAGAGCCAGAAATATGATGATCTCAGCACTTGGTGTTGATGAGTATTATAGGGTGTCTCACTGCACGTCCGCTAAAGAAATGTGGGACGCTTTAGAAATTACCCATGAAGGCACAACTGAAGTTAAACAATCCCGCATTAATACACTCAATCAAGAGTTTGAGCTCTTTCGCATGAAGCAAGGAGAATCTGTCTCTGACATGCAGAAGAGATTCGTACATCTTGTGAGTCGTTTAAATGCACTTGGAAAACCTGTTTCCAATGAAATTGCTACTAATAAAATTCTGAGATGTCTTAGCAGGGAATGGCAACCTAAAGTAACAGTTATCAAGGAAGCAAATGACCTCACTACGCTTACCATTACAACTCTGTTTGGAAAGCTGGAAGAACATTAACAAGAATTGCAAAGTCTTGAAAAATACGAAAATAAGAGTAAGAAAGAAAGGAACAAAGACAGGGAGGGTGAGAAGAAGTCAATAGCTCTAATGACTTCTAGCTATAAGTCCTCAACCAAAGAGCAATATGAAAATGGCTCAACTAGTGATGAAGATTCTGATGATGAAGAAATGGGACTTTTTGCTCGGAGATACAATAGATTTATCCGAAAGAATGGAATCAAGCACTCTGATAAGAATCTCATAAGCTTTCGAAAACAATCCAAAGAACCAAGGCAAGAAGAAAATAAAAAGCAAAGAGGTAAATGACCTTGTTACAATTGTGGTTAAGTTGGACACTACAAACCAAACTATCCAAAGATGAAAAAGGATAAGGAAAAATCTCCACCAAAGAAGTTCAACAAACAAAGAAGAGCTTATATTGCATAGGAAAGCGACAGCGATTCATCAGACGATGGCAGTTCAAGTTGTAGTGATGAAAGTGCAAATTTATGTCTGATGGTACATACAAAAAGTCAATTCTACAACAAGAAAGACAACCACAACAAACAAGTAAGACAACCATATCCTAACAACTTTTCTTCTATGGCCTTTTTTGAACTAAAGTTAGCTTTTGAAAAACTGCAATACAAAGCTGAAGATGCCTTTAAGAGATTATCCTCCGATAAACAAATTTTTTCATTTCTCGAGAGTAAAGTCTATAAAGCTGAAAAAGACTTAAAAAGTCTAAAAGCTAGTATTGCAGAAAGTTCAAAAGATAAGGATGTTACAGGATGTATTCCCAAAAGGGAATGTGAAGTTTTTCATATTTGGCAGCAAGAGGTTAGGACTCTTAATGCCAAATTAGAAAAAGCTTTACAGCCCAAAGTTACTTTTGCAATCGATCCTAAATTTTTTAAGAAAACATTAAATCCACCGTATTCAAAATACTCTTTTGTTAAAAAATTACCAAAGGATACAATGAGCACAAGTAAAACAATACATTATCATCATAGTTTATGCCATTATTGTTGTCACTTTGGACATACCATTGAAAAATGCAAGTTTAGGAGGTTCCTTGTTCCTAAAGGCATTTTCCAATGGAGGCCTAAAGGCAACCATGTTACCACTTATCCACATGGATCCAATAAAAATTGAGTACCTACCTCTCTATTTTGATATTGCAGGAAAAATGCCTCACACCCATGGATAGAAGATGGTTTTTAGACAGCGGGTGTTCAAGGCATATGACTGGTGACATATCGCTCTTCATTGACTTCAAGGCAAAGAAGAAAGGATTTGTTACCTATGGAGACAATAACAAAGGAGTTATACTCGGTAAAGGTAGTGTAGGTAATCCCTCTATTACTACTATTTCTAATGTCCATTTAGTAGAGGGGCTTAAACACAATTTGCTCAGTATTAGTCAATTATGTGACAAAGGTTATAAAGTTACCTTCACAAATACTTGCTGCATAATTGAAGATACTGAAAAAGATATTGTGTTTAAGGGCATTAGAGTAAACAATGTCTATATGCTTGACCTTTTTGATGTATCCTTAACAAGCACTAAGTGTTTAGTCACCTTGAATGATGATTCATGGCTTTGGCATAGACGCTTAGCGCATGTTAACTTTGATTTGCTTAATAAGGTTGTATCCAAGGATCTAGTAGTAGGTCTTCCAAAGATAAAATTTACAAAGGATCACCTATGTGATGCGTGGCAAATGGAAAAGCAAACAAGGGTCTCTTTCAAATCCAAAAACATGATTTCCACTTCACGACCCCTTGAGCTTCTCCACATGGACCTTTTTGGACCCTCTAGAACAAAAAGTTTAGGAGGAAATTATTATGGTTTTGTTATTGTTGACGACTACTCTAGATTTACTTGGACTATATTCCTTCATAGCAAAAATGAAACTTTTTCTGCTTTTAAGAGTTTTGCAAAACTATCTCAAAATAAAATGGAA